AATATAACCCCCCCCCCCCCCCGCGAAAAGTGCGCGACCGAACTCGGGCAGCGAAACTGGCTTTCGCGAGTTGCATCAAACCGATGGTTTCGTCATGTTTTGGAGACTTTTTTATCCCAATGAAGCAGACTGCAGTTCGAAATGTCGACTGAGATGAAGCACGGAATATGCTGTATGAGAAAGGAGGCTTCTCAATCCGCACCCTCCGTCGGAATAGGATCTCTGGGCAGAGAGCGTTGGGAAGCCAACCAACCAAACCACACAGCGTTTGTATTGTTAGTTTTCCGCCCTTGTAGCTCAACTACCTTCCGTATCTCCGATTGCAAGCCTCTTAATCTTGTGCAACAAACGAAGTCTAGTTGTGGCATGTCCATAAAGACCCTCTTCATAGCTTCGATCATTTCACATGTGGTATCTTCCATATTATCGGGGTCGTATCTAATTTTGACTACATAAGTGGTTGTATCCAAGCGCTTCGCTTTACCGTTGACATGGGCCATCTCTGTGCTTACGATCTTTGCATAGCTGCCGACAGTAAGTTCATCATTCTCAATGGCTGATTTAGCGCCCCTGGGTAAGTTTAGGGCTTTGACCTGGTCCGTCCCATCCGTGTCATCATCGGATATCACAATCACCATATTACCGGTTCCCTCATAATCCTCACGGGTGATCACCTTTGTCGCCTTGAAACCTTCTCCCGGCCATGGTTGCCTAACAAGCTTTCCCCACATCTCATCCGCTACTCCTTCTTCGAGCACACGTAGTAGATCTCCGCGAGGGAGTTCTGAATTATCTATGCGCCTCTTCAATTCTTTTATTTCCTCCTCTTTCACTCTCAAGGTGTGTCTTAGCTCCTCGTTTTCCTCGTTTAGGTAAGCGCAGCTGGTTATTGCCTCTTCCAGCTTGGTGCTTTTCCTAGTCGCAGATTCCGTGTGCACCAACATCCTCCGAAGGTTTGACGTTAGTTCATCCTCGCTGATATGCTTTAATTTCTCGGTCTGGAGTAAGCTTCGAATTTCCTGTTCTAGAACTTCCAAAGTCGGTCTAAGTTTCTTGAAGATGTCCTTAAGGTCTTCCTCATGTGCCACCTTTTTACTTTTGTCATTAAGCAAATCCTCCGGTCGCGGCCTTTTGTTGGTTGGCGTCGACTGAGGTGTCACCACCTCGAATGGATTCGTCGCGCTAGTCCCGCCGGTGGGGGACGCCATCCCCGAGATGCTACGACTCAGTTGTCTCCTGGCCGATG